GGTATTAAAGAGGCAACCCTCTGGCAAAAGAAAAAGTATATTATAAATTGTTATAAACTGAAATAAGACTCTAAAACGAAGCATCACCAATATCCCTTAAGTTAAGACACACCAGTTGGTAATTCCTTATTTGCCTTTCCAATAGCATGTAGCTCGCCAGGCAGCTCAAATACAGTCAACAAACATATGGATTGGATCTAAAAATAGCACTCACACACCCCTTTGGGACTGCCAAGGAAATGGTCTGTGTCCGTAAGTGTTAGTAAAGCACACAAGCAGGCGATTGGATGGGTAAAAGGAATGACTTTAAGACATGTGTGCTCTACATGTTTAGGCATATGGCCCTTAACTCAGTCAGCGGTGAACAAGGAAGCGCTTTTTCTCCTTAGTTAATGAACTGGTAAAAACAATGGTGTCTAAAGAGATGACTACTCGGGGATGATGTTATGGGTACGTTTGGTGGTTCAGAACAAACCATCAAAGTAATGTTGTTGACGCTAGAAAACCAGTGTCTTGTCTTTTTCTGTATTCTTGTTTTTTGTCTGCTGCTGTCTTGTTATTTAGCACAAGTTTATTTTACTGTTAATAGGTGCATAATTTACAAAATAAAGTTCATGCTGTATTGAAGAAGATCTGAAACTAACAATTGAGACAATACACTTATCAATAAAATGTTTAATGTGATCAAATCAGAAGTGGTCAACTTCCTCATAGACTTCTATACACTCTGATTCACTGTTGGGTATTAGGGAGAGTATTAGGCACTTTTAAGCCACTCCCAAATTTGATTAATTTTTCAGACCTGATGGAACTCATATTTCCCTTTGTACTAATGTGACAGGAACCTTTTGATTCCAATAGAAGTCAAATGAATACCATGCAAATTGGCATCAATTCCCTTTTGCTATTAGTCATTTGTTTAAATGAATCTATCCGGAGTGACATATCGTGGCACCCTTTCAAACACTTAACAGTAACATGTCATTTCCTTATTACTCTGGACATTTGACTTTGATTCTGAGTTAACCATTCTGCTGTCATACATTTAATAACAGTATTTTACTAAGCCAAGCATGAGTGAAACGATGAGAGAATTGCTTGTAAAGTGGAGCAAGAGGTACATTTTTCGATTTCATGTTGCATACAACTTTAACCTCCTGCAGTTTATTTTGTATTTGTTGAGTATAACACCAACAGCCATATAATGTGCTCCTGAGGCTAACAAATTAATTTTAAGGAAATGTTGAGCCATACTTCTTCCTGAAATTGCATGAGCTAGCTAATGGATATTTGTTTTAATACATTTTTTCAAATGAATACGTCAAGTGTTCAAGTGCTTAGAGTTGGTCTAAAGTTTGAAAATTTGTGTTTTTATTGTTCCAGTTCTGCCATTCTCAAAGTACAAAAATACAGTGATCTTATTTTATATATCAAGGATCAAAGTGCTGTTAAAAGTTGAAAAATAAAGACGAAGGATTTTAGAATTGTTCTTACATGCTTCAGAAATGTGCGGACGGGTTTAAGATGTTACTTGGCATCTTAATGTTTCTGTAATACCTTCAAAGGAAAAAAATACAATGCTTTGATTCACTGCCTGCCTGTTTCACCTTGTTCTTTTCAACTCTGTCTCCAGTGTAACAGCTCAGATAGGGCTGTGTTCGGTAGCTCTGACTTCCTGAGTGATTGTCCAGTAGATGAGCAGAACATGTACCTAGACTGTATTGTGGTGCACATTCAGGTAAAACCCCATCGCACTTAAACTGGGTTTGACACCAATACAATGCAGTACACATAAACACCAACTGACATAAATCAACACTATAAATCAACTCTGTACTGTATCAATACTTCTGATAAAAATAAACTGAGCATAAGATCTCATTACTTACTTTTAAATTGCTTTAGATTTACACCATCTAGGTGCACGTAATAAACCTGTAACGTGTGTAAATTGCCCATGCAAGCGCTAGTTTTTGTCTCTCCATCAATTTGAGTCTTAATTATTGCTTCACACTCAATAAACTTGTTCCTAAGGTGCGATAATGACTGCTGTGTTTGCTTACATGCTACAGCCTCAAGGTTAGTTACCGCTGATGCCGCATAATTAAGAGGGTTAACAAAGGTTAGTGGCCACAAATATATGCACACCAAGATCAGCACATTCCTGTAAAGCAAAGCTGTCAGCTTAGAGAGCACTCAGCAGCAGTGGTGACAGCTTTATCTCCATATGCATAAAACACTCTCCTTAGATGCAGAATATGAATACAAAGTGAGTGGTATTAATGAAAGCAACCATATGCATCAGAACTACATTAAGGAACAACAGAAGTGTGCAGAACAGGGGTTCATGATACATTTAAGCATCATTTAGAGTGGTTTTAATTATGTTTTTTTTATTCACCTCTAACAGTCTAAGCAAACTGTTGTCTGTATACAACAATGGAATGGTTAATTCAAAAGATGCTGTGACAACTCGTCTTTGTTGAATCCTGACAGCTACGCTTGCACAGACTTGTGTGAGTCAGAAATCAAATTATGTAAACACTTTTGTTCACAACCAAACAATGCAGCCATCATTTGAAAGCCTTGTGATTGTGATGTTAAAAAATGAAATGATTGCCACATCTTTGTTATGGCAAATACAGTTGTGCTGTTTGTGTGCAATTATTGATAAATGACTCATAAGAAAGAGGACATTTTGATTTGATGGAGTCAATCACACCCATGGTAGGGTTTTGGCAGTAGAAAGCTGGAGAGAAAACTAAACAATTAGACTGGACAGTGTTGTTCACTAGGGCACAGAGGGTTGAATGCTGTCCAACACAGACAGTATCAATGCCATCACTTATTTTGGCTTTGGCTTCTGGTAATAGCAGCTCTCCCATGAGCTTTTGTGTAGGTTGCGCCAGTTCTCTCATGTTTATGCATCGGATGGCAGCCTCGTCCCACACCCAGCACCCCAGCACCCCCTTAGTGCTGATGTCTCTGTTTGCTCCGTCTTCGCTGCCTATTACTACTTGACATGATGAGTCATAGTGTCGGAGCAGCCGCTGATTTAAAGATCACCAAACAGATGTCACCAAATAATTTCAATAAATTGATTCCCCGTTTATTAATGAAGTCCAGAGTGCTGTTGCCTTGTAATGGCTTTTCTTTGTCTGTACAGTTAGTAAAACAGTAAAAATCTACTGCCCATCTAGCTGCTTTTTGATAAAGTAAACATTGGTGATTTGAGCTAGCTTTGGTAATGCTAATGTGCTCATAGTATATCACAAGCAGGTATAATTGTTTACTATGTTCATGTTGAGCATGATAACATGCTTATATGTCTAATCAAATATAACATTACAGGTATGGCTGGTATGGCAATATTGTTAACACATTTGGTCAGAAAGTATTGAAAAGATGTATAATTAAAAGTAAGGGAATCACTCAAGTAATTTCATTTCATCATGAGGGAGGAGACATTAGCCTCAAAACCACAAATGCCAACCTCATGGTAACCAAAAGTCATTTGGATTTATTGTCTGGGCAAAATTAAAATGTCTACCAAACATGTTCCCAATTAATATTATAGATGTTGAGATATTTCACATATATCATGGCTAAAACTCCAAAGCTATTATAGGCGTGTGTAATGCTTTGAAATTGACAAGAACGCAAAATCCGTATACCTAAAACTCCCTGGCTGGGCGTGGCTGACCTGCTTTTGGATTCCCGCCTCTACACCTCTTCAGCTGCTGCTCATCTCACGGTTTGCCACCACTTACCTGCACCTGTATAAAAACCTGGGTCTTGAAGTGTGTTTTGTCTCCCTTGGTCCTCTGTCCCTCTCCATTCCCCTCATCCTGGCCTTCTCACTTGGTTTTTTCTGGTCATTAGATTTTCCCTTTGGCTCCCGCTTCAAGTTGAAATCCCTGGCCCCGGCTTCCTGGATCCCCTCTGCTCCATTCACTGGATTTCCCCGTCTGCGCCTTCCCCCGAACACGGCCACAACTCCCAGTCCTCTTCCTCGCAATAAAGCCTTGAATTCACTCGACTCTTGTCTCCTTTTTCAATGTTTAAATTGTGTGTTCAACCCAGTTACTCGTTCAGAGCTTAACATAAATATCGTATGGATCTCTCTAATCATCCAACACACTGTTTTCTCTTTTGGAATGTGACTACATTGTTGGTTTAAGTAACTAACAACCATAACTCGTGAGGGTAGTATGGCCATGGGCGTAGAAGTTGAGTCACATCCCTATTGTTGCAATTCATGCTGCATGCAAGGGCTATAGAAGACTTAATAAATCTCAGATTTGGGGAATACCTACTGGATGTGATAGAGAGACCAAAAGGGGAATCATTTCACCTCCATTGGCAGATGCTCTGCATTATATATCACTGACTGCTTTGGCTTTCATCCAGACCTTTCATTACGTCGTCACCAGACCATGGCGAGAAATAGTCTGAGCCACTTCGTTCAAATGCTGGAGAAGTAAAGCTTTTTTGAAATTGTACTGAAGCGCCGCTGTGACTGACGTTACTTGATTGCCTTTTTTAAGCATATAAATGTTTAGTCAATTCCAGCTAGACTCACTTTTAAAAGCATTTATTTGTTGATTGGTCTGAAGTAAACCAATCAACTGAAAAGTGATTTCTCCATTTCTAGTTTGGAGGGATTCTGGTCCAAGTTTGCATTAAACATTTACAATTTCTTCACATGCATTGCAATTTAAAGGAGAATATGAACTGCAGGCACTGAGATACTTTGCTGCCCATAAATGCGCTCATCATTTCCAGAAATAATATTACATTCCACCTAATGTACTTATCTGCTGTAAAGTGCTATGGCCCTTTCACATTAGTCGCAGAGACCCTCATCATGAGCAGTGCCGTATTGTTTTAACCCAGTGATGGATGAACTCTAAATATTAATAGACCATACAGTACATAATGCAAGCCAAACACACTTAAAGGAAGTTTGTCCAAGTGTGGTTTATTTAAGAAAAACTGTGTTTATTACATGACTGAACTGCATTATTTAGCCCTAATAAATGTTTTTACAACTCTAGTACAAGTCTATTCACATCACCCACCTAACAGAAACATACATTTTCATGTGGGCCTTTTTTAATTACAAAATTCCTCCAAAAATAAAAAAAATACAGATTGATGACTGAGATAAATAGATAAATACACAACAAAATAATCAAACTCACTCAGCCAATAAATAAATAGAACAATAAATAACATTCAAAACATCTTTGGCCTTCTTCGGGCCAATGTATGTCCTCACAGATGTTGCATTGCTCTCGGTAGACAGAGCAAAAGGTGACAGAATCAGCCATGGGGATATAAAGAACAACACTGGATGTGTGGCATGAGATAGCAAGTGAAAGAACAATTATATGGAGGCACTTTTTAAGGATGTTCTAGGAAATGAAAACATTTCCGTGTGTATGCGTATTCCCCAAATAGGAAACAAAATGTAAGACAGGAACATTCAATTGAAAGATAATTGAATGGCTGCTTGGCTCATCTAATCATGTTACCGTATGTTCCCTCATTTATTTTTTTTACAATTGTGGAACTGAGCATGGTAAAGTACCAAATCAAAACGAAAACAGAAAGCTGGAATAAGATGGATACAAATAACATGTGAGGAAAACAATGGTAAACTATTGTGTGTCGTAAACCAAACTTTGTTACATATTTCCTTTTCGAGTCTGTGAATAACATCAATGTGTGTTCTCCGTGGTGGTTGAGTTCGACTGAGTCTCTGACTGCTCCCCGAATATCCCTGCTAGTGTCTTAAAGCGGGGCCCCCAGTCATTGAGGTAATCATAGTCCTCCTCAGGGTCTATGACGATGGACTCGATGGAGCTGAGCGACTCAGCCACGGAGCCATCGCCCTCGTAAGCGTACGTGGCCAGGGAGTCGTAGGGCGGCGCCGAGTTGTCCACATCGTGCTCCTTCAGACGCTGGTTAATGAAATGCCGGATGTCAGCGCTGTCCTGAGAGACAGGTGCCCTCGGACTTCTCTTCATCTCAGGTTTGACGTCCCTGCGGAACAGGTTCTCTTTGACAACCTTGGGATTGCGAAGCGTCCCCATGTCAAAGGCGTGCGTGTCCTCTTCTCCACCTCCTTCATCGTCATAGTGGATCACATTATCCCGGATGTCCTCTTTGGATGACATGAGGGTTTCTTTCTTCTTCTGCCGTCTCAAGCCAACGTAGAGGACCACGATTACTGGGGGAAAGAAAAAATTGAGAAATTATATTTAGACTTGTTCACACAACTAATCTACTAAGCACAAGGGACAACGTGGGGTTATGTCAAGGTTTTGGGTGATGTTGGCTCAGGACTAAAATATATTAACCACTTTGGAATGGATTGCCATGAACATTTTGTACAGATATTTTAGGTCCCCAGAGGATGAACCATGATTACTTTTGTGAACCGTCACAAGGCGCCATCTTGTCATGAGCACTTTAGTTTACAGTAAACAACACACATTTGGATTCATTGCCATCAGATTTCTTACATATTCATGTGCCCCACAGCATGCATTCCGATGACTTCGGTGATCCCATTATTTTCACAAAAACGTTGGTTTATTTCCCAATCTCTGGAAGGCTATAAAAATCACATCAGCCTCAGCCGTAATTTGTGTTAAGTGTTAATTAGCAATAATTAGCATGCTTACAAGCTAAACCAAGATGGTGAACATAAAATCAGCAAGTTTGCATTTTTATGCAGAATGCTATTGTTGACTCCAAGGCGCACAAAGATACTGCCATCTGTATTTAGCTTTGTGTGCTTTAATGCAGCCCATATTTCAGACGGGTTTAATTCCGGCAGCGGCTCAGTCAGTAGGGGCTTGGACTGTGAGCCGTAGGGTCGGCGGTTCAAGTCCCCGACCAGACCTAAAATATGGAGTGTGGACTGCTACTTGGAGAGGTCCCAGTTCACCTCCTGACCTGCCGTGGTGCCCTTGAGCAAGGCACCAGACACCCCCCTTCCCCCCTCACTCCCATTGCTCCCCGGGTGCTGTACAATAGCTACCCACTGCTCCTAGTACTAGACTCCTGGTACTAGGATGGGTTAAAAGCAGAGAACAAATGTCACTGTGTGTGTGACCATTAAAGAGGGTTTCATCCCTCCCAATGATATTCTATTTATAAAGTGAAGTCCTGCTTTACAAGGAGGTAGTAAATGAAATCCCATTGAAACCATGGTTATGAAAAACCTAGACATATAATGCACTATTTTCACAGTTTGACCCGCACATCAACACCTTCTGGGAATTTAATTGCTTTTGTGGCTCAAAGCAAATAATGTGTGCTGGCCACATTACACACTTATAGGTAGCACAACAACTGTGAGCACTGTTGGATAGAGCCAAAGCACACAGTTTTGCTCACAAGCCTTCATATGTAGCTTGAGGATCTGCACATTTTCAACACTGAAGTGCAGCAGTGTGATGCTCAACACATTATGTTACAATACATTCCCTTCTCTCCCTTCTGTCAATGTAATCTGTCTCCCTCGATGCCCCTCTCCTGGTCTCCTCTGAGAAATCTGCAGTAAAATATGTGTTTTTCTTTTCCTTTCAATATAGAGTTGCATCCAGGCAGGAGAGCAATGGCCAGGATAGATGGAATTATTCAAAGCGAAAGAGTCCAAAAAACACATTCAGACTGAAAAATAGACTTAAGTAGGTCTCTTCCTTTCATCCTGGCTGTATATCACTTTCTCTCTGCCTCCCTTCACTCCCATGTGATTTTGATCTGCCTGTATATAGTGTGCCAGCTCCCCCCAGTGGCCCCTATGTAGATTTCGACAACAGCCAGCTACAGTATAGAAGGACTCACTGGTTGAACACAGCCTGTCACTGGGTGCAGCCAATCCACATCAGTTTGAAAGAAACAGCAATGCAGATGAAAGCCTGTGTGCTGGTCTCTTTAATTTACCTCATCATTCCTCCTCACAGGACAACTGGGTCATCCTGACAAATCCTGCACAGGAACTAAGTGGCTCTATGAAAATGTTCTCAGTGTGAGTTCTGATTTTCTCCACCACTTTCCTTCCCAGGGACAGCATGACAATTTGGCGTCAGCCTCAGCCTCTGGGGCGAGTTGACTTGGAGCTTTGAAGACGTTCCCCTCAGATGAAGGGAACACACCAACAGCTCTGCAGCACACAGCTACTCCACCACATGCAGCGATGGAAACAAATTAAGTACATTTACTCAAGTATTGGACTTGAATATGATATGTTCTTCTACTTACTGGTCCACTTCAGCTGATAGGGACATGTTGTACTTTTTACTCCACTAAAAATATTTGACATTTATAGCAGTGACATTTTGCTCACATATTTAAAAAAACTGAAATTGTTATGCCACACGGAGAAAAATACAAGTAAATACAGCTCAATTTAAAGGTCATGGCTACCCTTGACTTCCATTGTAAACTAGGAACTTCCTTAACAACCAACCATCCCATATTCATAATTCAGAGAATGATCACATAAACCCACATTTACTTCCTCCCTGTTATGTAGATGAGATAGGGCATTAATAGCAGGGAATTAAGGAGGAGTTTTACAACCATGACCTTGTGGGGAATGTGAAAGCTGAAGCTTGAGGAGCGGCCACAGGGCAGCGAGATTGGATTTAGTTTATAGAGCCAAGAGCTCCTCCCTACAATCTTTATTGCTCATTGAATGACTAAATTCATATGCGTTCTATAATTAACTGTGGACACTCCTGGAGAGGCGCCAGAACAAGTCTGAGGGTCAATTCGGCATGTTTGGATAAAACAATTGTAAAGAATTGAAAATAATCCTGCACTAGGATTATATTCAGGTGTTGAGCTCAATCTCCTACAATAAGATGTTTTAATTTGACATAAAAAATCAATCAACATCTCAAAATTAGGAAGATAAAACTCATACCTAATATGCCAATCAAAATAAAAGTCTGTTTGCTGAAGACACTGCAGATTTGCTGCAGAGCAGAACACATTCATGTCAGAAAAGCACACAGGGGCCGTTTCTCAATCTCGAGGATACTGGTTTCCAAGCCAATATATCAAGGATGCTACGTCATCGAGTGCCACCGAAGTAACCTACTGTTCCAATCTCCAGCATACTTGGAATTCCACGAGGCCGCGTCCTTGGTTTGGGGGAAATTTCGAGGCTGCACATGGGTAGTAGACTTCGCGTCCTTAAAATCCTCACAATGCTTTGCGCACGGACCAATTTCAAAAACCCTTGCGGAGAATGGCTGAAGCGACGCAGCACACATTGTAAGTATGTAGTGGCGTAGAACATGTGTTGGTAAATATGTTCACCAAAAATGTGTTCCGTGAAAGTAAAGCAAGTTCATAATTAGATAGACATGGTTGAAACCGTTAGAAAGAGTGACACACTTGTTAGCCTGTTCCATTCTTCTTCGTTTTCCGAAGCCGTGGCTTGGAAGCATACTTGCTTCGTTTCTGAAGGAAGTGACTTGGAAGTACGCGACTACCAAGCCAGCATCCTCGAGATTGAGAGACGGCCAGGGTGTTTCTCAATGTCAAGGAAAGCTGCTCCAGAGCCACTATTTCAAGGATGCTACGTCATCGAGTGCCGCCGAAGGACTGTTCCAATGTCCAGGGTACTTGGAATTCTACCGAGGCCGGCGTACTTCGTTGCGGGAAATTTCGAGGCTGCACGTGTAGCCTCCGCGGTCTTAAAATCCCCACAATGCTTTGCGCACGGACCAATTTCCCAAATCTTTGGTGGAAAAATGAAGGCGGGGCCTCTCCTATGACACACACTTGCTAGCCTGTCCCATTCTTCATTCTCCGAATGAAAGGAAGGATTCTTGCCTCGCTTCTGAAGGACCACGACTCGGAAGACGTGTCCCACCAAGGAAGCGTCCTCGACATTGAGAAACACCCACAGTTTACTGAGATTAATTGAAATAACATTTCTGCTAAATAAAATAGATGTATACCTTTTTTTACCCAGGGTAAGGTTGCCTTAAAAAAATTATCGTGCCATGTTAAACTGTGTCATACAATTTACTTTCCATTTCACATTATAGCCAATCAATATCTTAAAACGGCACTAAATTGATTTTAAAGGTCAAAATGTTTACTTAACCTGTCAAAGTGTAAAGACTGTTTGATTTGATAAACATATGGAAATGGCATTTTTGAAAAGGTAATAGCTGACAGGTAAAAGTTACAAGCAAAAGTTCAAACAAATGTCATACTCTCACCAAGCATGAAAATAAACATGTCATTGAATGTTTTATACCCAGTGTGTGGTTACCTTGTTCTGAGTGTAACACTAGGCAATTCCCTGGTTCCTTTAATATTATCAATGATGCAGGGCTACAATGGAGCATGTTTACAAGCCAGAACACGGCAGGCCTCACCTAACAGGATGATGATACATAGGAGGATAGCGATCAGCGCTCCTGTGCTGAGGCCCACGGGGAGAAAGATGGCCTCGGCGCTGCACGTTAGCAGTGAGCCATCGGACTCGCAGCCACACACACGGATGGTCAGAGTGCCGGTGCTGCTCTTAGGAGGGTAGCCATTATCGTCAATCACCACAGGAAGGAGGTAGATCTCCTGCAAACGCCGCCTGAAGCCACCCCGCTTAGTCACAATTCCAGCTGTGTTGTCTAGAAGAAAGGAAAGAAATCATGAAAGAAATCTTCGAAAACAGATTTTCTTAAAGGCCTTGGATGAAAAGAAACTCATAAATCTGCATGGAGAGGCCTGAAGAAGTACTTTCTTCCTTGATCTATACAGTTTATAAAGTGCTCTGACCAAAAGCAAAAGAAAATATTTCACCCTTTATACCCTCACATCAATCACACAATGCTCCAAGCAAGTCTGGAGGTCCATGAATGAGCAAGATAACACTTTTCAATGTCTGATAACTTTTCATGTTTGATATCAAATCCTCTCCAAATGTGCCTCCCTGAATGTGATGAGAAACGGCAACGTATAAAAACTCTCGCCCATTTTACACCGCTTTCTTTAAAAGCCAACCACACTCCATACATCATTCCCTGAAACACTGAGATGGGATGTTATTTCTTATCTCTGTGTGCAGGCGGCGTCACTCGAAAACAGCAGATCAGCAATGTGAGATAAAAGATCAAGAAAATAATAAAAACACACAAACTTGGAGAGATGGGAGGATGATGAGTGAAATGGAGGCTGACAATGTAAACCAGGGAGAGGGAATGTCTCAGGTTGTTCTACTGCAGAGAGACTTTCTGACCCCTGTCAAGCCGGGTTTGTTCCTCTGACGGAGCCTGTCACTTTTTCTTGACTGGAGGTCAGGCGTTTTAGCACACCTTGCATGTCGTGCAGAACTGTGGCTTTGTCGGCACTCTCTCTCCCTCTCTGTGTTTGCAGCACCTGTAGCGAGGCCCGCAGTGTTTTGTGCTTCCTGTCCCTGCCGATCACATCCCTCTCTGTATTTGGGAGGGTGCTCACACGGCCTCTGGCACTCAAGAAACTGCAAGAGTGTGTCCAAAAAGGTAAAACTGGATCAGAGGTTCGGAACTGGGCTTGTCAAAAGGATGGTGAATGCATTCGATTCCTTGGCCTCATCCTGCCATGACCCACTTTTCATTACCTGTCTTTCTTAGACTTCAAAGGGCTCCGCCAATGCAAGCTGTCATGTATGCCTCACATATATATAAGTGTCATGTATACCCTTATGCAGTCACGTTGTCAAGTTATTTTTAGCTTTGAGACATGCCACTCATATGAGCTTAGATCAAACAACCTTTTCAGATGGCAAATTATTGATCTTGACAGGTTGATTGTCCTCACTCCAAACTAAATGACTGCATGTAGAGACCTGAGGGTAGCAATTTAGATCAATATTGGTATAAATTGCTGCCAAAGACAAATGTTATCATTTATACACTGCAGTGGTGATACTATAAATGTACACTTAAATCCTTATCAAGGCCACTATCTGGGCTGTTTGAAGAATTCAGTTGTTTCTTTCAGTAACAGTAATCTAATAACTATATGTTTCCTTTTTAGGAAACCATTAATGATTGCATGCAGCATTTCTTCATCAGGACATGGTTAAACCGTACACCCCGGCACGTGCACTCCGCTCTGCATCAACCAAACGGCTCGCTGCACCCTCGCTGCGAAGGGGACCCAAGTTCCCATCAGCAAAAACACGTGGGTTTGCTATCCTGGCTCCAAGATGGTGGAATGAGCTCCCCATTGACATCAGGACAGCAGAAAGCTTACACATCTTCCGGCGCAGACTGAAAGCTCATCTCTTTCGACTCCACTTCGAGCGATGGAACTATTAACAAAGCACTTATATACTAATAAAGGACTGGCTTATCTAAAGCCAGTTGAGTAGCACTTGAAATGTTTTTGCTCTATGAAACCTGATGTACTTTATGATTCTGTTTTCTTCAAGTTGTATGTTGTTGGTCGAACGCACTTATTGTAAGTCGCTTTGGATAAAAGCCTCAGCTAAATGCAATGTAATGTAATTGATACGTCAGCCTTTTTAATTGTTCAATGCAGAGCGTAACGCGGTTTTATAGTTAAAGGGGGCCTATTATGCTCATTTTCAGTCACAATTGTATTTTGTGTCTCTACTGTGACAGTTAAGTGCTTTCTTTGTACACACAGGAAAGGGAAAAAAGCTTAAGCTGCAAACATTTTTATAATAAGTGTGACTAAGTGTCACCAAACTGAGGTGACGAAATTCAACAACACTTACTTCCAAAGTCCCTGACGGTAAAGTTCTTGTTCTTCATGTCTTCTTTTGGCGATTTGAAGGAGAACTGTTGTCCAGCAGCTCGTAGATCCTGGTCTTGTGCACTGAACGTCTGAATCACCTGTGAAACGTGAAAATGATGATAAATAGTTTAAGGTCCTGCCTCTACGTGGTACACTCGTTGTAGAAGTTTGATGTTTTGTTTGAGCACTGGATGTCAGATGTCTTTTCAATAGAAACTCAAACGTATATAGGTTGAATTCTTCTGGGAAAAATGTGTACAATTATTGTCGGACTGTCCTGAACTGACTTCCTGTCAGCGCTGAAACAAAGCGGTACATTGTTCTCCCTGTAGTTTTAGATACAGGCATTGAGTATTTGATTGATGACTTGTTAAAACCTCTCGATAACCTCAACACATTGTGATGGATTCAGTTCATTCCGGACTGGTGGAGCTTGTTCAAGGGTCATGGACAGAAGGCAGTTGTTTCATATTGTACTTATATTACAGTGCATCTCCTCAGAGCACGGGGCCGTCCAAAAATAAACCCGCAAGAAAACAATTCGATCAATTCAACACCTTTCATGAATACTCCAGCTCAACAAACTGAATGTGTTATGTGAAAATGAGTTAAAGCAACAACTGAAACAACAAACAACTCCTAACTTTTCCACCCCGCTGCTCACAGACTGCTGACGGCTCTCAACTTCCTTCTGTTCCCCAAACGTCTCAGGGCTTTGTCTGAAACCCACTGACCTGAAAGCCCCCCGCTCGCCGGGCTTCACCTGCTGAAGACCTGAAGCCTCGTCCCAGGAATTCCCACGAGCCTCAAATCACCCCCGACCACAGTGCTCTCTTTGCTCCTTTGTTTGATAACCTGACACCGGGTGATGAGCCTCTGTTGTTCTCCCCACAGCAGCTGTACACTTCACACTGTTGATTTCTCAGCCACCAAATTAGCTCGGTGATGAATACATCTAAACGATCAATTACTTCCCTTGCTTTAAAACTTTCTGTCTTGCACATACCAAAACGCTGCAGAATGGATGGTTCATTTCCTGTGCTGCATGTCACACCTCTCCTTCAATTTTTAGATATACCTTTACTGACCAAAAATGTCCAAATGAATCAATCAATTTGTGTTCGTTTTATTAAACAGGACTTGACAAAAGCAGCACATTTTACAATTTTAGAAGCTTGTAACTGTTTTCTTAAATTTAAACATCCAATATTTAATAATCTGTTGATTGCCCAACGGATCAATTCAATAAATATGGGTATACTGTCTATCACAAGCTCCAGAGAAGAATAATCTGCAATTTAATATTCTATCATTGGGAGAATTCAACTTTATCATCTCTATTTGGTGTAAACCTATAAAAGTTATATGTTTTTTTTTTTTTTTTTTTCTAATTACATAATCCATTATGTAAGAAGTGCTCCTTTTCTTGCTCTCAAAGTGCTCCCACCTTGGGATCATAGGTGGAACTGTGAGCGCACTAAGTGCTATTGTATATGTTAAATGGCTCTAAGGCTACTCTGCTTTTGCACTCCGCTGCGTTGTAAAGTAAGCAAGATAAAAGTGCCAGCTAAATGCTGTAAATGTAAATGTAATTATTCCAGCATATCAAACTGATTCAGCGGGTTAGCATTTCAATGTGGCATTATAAAAAGCCTGTGAGAGGAGATGCATTAAAGAGTGAGCAATGCGTACTGTAATAGCACTGGCTGTCCTAAGTATCTCTAATACGTGGAGGTCAATATTCTTGTTTTTATGTTTCCTTTGTGCTTGCTTTTTCTCATTTCACACTTGACCAGTTGACTCTCCAAACGTAATACATTTTAAAATAGGGAAACGTTTTGCTGTATTCCTACCCTGCCCTTTTTATTTATATTAAAATCTCAGTTTGAGGTCACTCTTCCTGCTCTTTCCACACACTGGCATGAACACAGCTTCTCTCTGTCCTGGTTATACATTATATTCCAGGGTAGGGTAGTGGCACTGTGTGAGGCAGCCCTAAACAAGCAGTTTGTATGTTTTTTCAGCAGCGTGAAGGCAGATAATCTTCTGGGGAGACGTGTGATGGATTTTACACGAGAGGATCTGCAATTCTTTATCATTCACCGGCTGCGCACAACACCTGCTGGAATCATGCTGTGAAAATGCTGCATTAAGTGTATATTGTGCACCGGAGGGCAAGGGAGGAGAGGGGAAAGAGGGGGAATAGGAAGCGGGGGAGGTGATTAACGCAAGGGAGTAAGGTAGAGGAGAGGATGCATCTTGAATACAGACGTGTTGCATTGCTAACTGAATTTGAGGATGTGGTTGTCTCCATTCCTGCTTTTTATTTTTAGGAAGATTTTGGTGACCTTGATTTTATTTGTTCATTATATGGTCTTTTTTATAGCTTTTACTATTTCTATAGCTAAATTATTATAAATATTGTCTCGCCTTACTTTTTGACTTCAAATAGTTTGGGGAATTTTGTTTTGTCTGTCAAAGCACTTTGTAAACCGTTTTTAACAGTTCTTTATATATTTATTTCTTAAAAGTAATTTTTCAATTCAATTTTTCAACATCAAACACAGCTTCGAACACATTTCTTGGTGTCTTGACAAGATTTTTAAGGCTGACAAACATGACTCTACCTGCAGCCAAGTGCATGATGGGAGGACAGTGATGCCTTCAAATGCAGGGGCACAGCCGTTGTTTTGATTGCAACAGGCCTGAGGAGTCGCAAAGCGTCCTCAATGTGATGAGGAGTCTACAGCTATTTGACAGACTGCCAAAGAAGCTGTTCCCTCAGAACGCTAACTGCATATAGATGCCGGTTAATGGGCTAATTTACAGGCGCAGGTGGTTTGCAATGCGCACAGGCAAATGATCCACTGCATCCAAAATATATCATCTGAAATGTACTCCAAGTTGCCGGTAGGAAAAACACTGCTGTGCTTTTTGATTGCTTCTCTCTTTTGAATCCAACTCCACCACTCAATCACTTCAGGATTTACATTCACACTGTGCTGAAGAGCCTGCAAATTCCCCTGTTTAATTTAAGTGACCTTGAGTAAAACACTAGGAATAAAACTTCTGTTCTGTATCAAAGCAAGAACTAATTGTGTATTCATTCTAGCTGAGAATACCAATAGGTGTTTTCGCCAAAAAATCATGATCAGTGTTTATTTCTGCATAAGTGTTTTTACACCTCAATGTAACACCTTCAGATATGTAACAACCACCTTGCAGCCACATTGTATAGGAGGACAAACCAATTAACAGTTGTCACCTACAGAATAATCAACACGTTTTAACACTAGACAATTTGCGGTGTTATAAACCGCAAAAGCATAGTGTGTGCAGAAGACATGTGAAAGTACCTGTCCAGCTTTGGAGTTTTCACAGACAAAGGTCTCGTAAGGTCTGGCCAGTTCAGGTGGGAACTCATTGATGTCCAACACGTGGACAGTGACGGCCACTCGACTGCTCAGAACCGGACTATCTGCAGGAGAAAACACAACAGAGACGTGACAGATTTGCACACTGGAGCAATACAACACATTTGTTCACAGTGCTGACATCATGTGGATATTGAAAGTACTGCCATCATAGGACGAGACAAAGCAATCGGTTGCAAAGGGGTGGTTAAAGAAAGTCCAGTCGAGATTTTAAACCGCCTATCTGCTCGCCCACTTTAAACCGCTCTGGTTAAATGTGTCTGCTATAAAACCTCAGATGTGTCTGGAACACGGTGATGCATACATTCCCTCTGGACGCTGATGTATTATGCTACGTTTGATTAAAAATATAAAGCAGAATTAAATAAAAATACACAGCAAATGCATCCCATGTGCTGCCTACAAATAAAGCACAATATGGAGTATGGCTCTATAGGGATTTTTTTTTTTTGCTTAGGTTATTTTATGGGTTTTAGCCCGTATTAATTATAGTGTGAAAGCCCTCTTGAGAGGAACAAACTTGAATCCAGGCTTGTTTGTAACAATGTTTCCTCACTGCCGGGGCACAACGGGGGAAATGTTCTTTTTGTGCGAAACCCCCAAGTAAGGTAAACTTTATGGATTTGGTGTGGGAATAGGCTTTGCTCTGCAGCGGGGGGCTTAGTGTGCACTTGTGTGTGCAAGTGCCAGTGCAGGGCAGCGCATGGTGTGTGTGTGTGTGTGTGTGTGTGTGTGTGTGTGTGTGTGTGTGGTGTGTGTGTGTGTGTGTGTGTGTGTGTGTGTGTGTGTGTGTGTGTGTGTGTGTGTGGTGTGTGTGTGTGTGTGTGTGTGTGTGTGTGTGTGTGTGTGTGTGTGTGTGTATGTGGGTGGTTTAGAGGACTGCAGGAGGGGGGATCTGTAGAGTGGTCTCCACAGGATTGGAGACCAGTTAGTAACCTGTCTCTGACCTTGATGGAAAAAGCAATCTTCCCACTGAGGTGAAAATGACACAGAGCTGGGGATTTTCTACTTTCGCACTGACTGAATTACTAACATTGATGCTCAGTCAGCAAAAACACTGATCTTTTCTGTCATCGAGGTCCTGAATTTGTTGGCCTCTACAACGTTTGCAAAGCTAGATCAATGCAATCTGTACAAAAACATACAAATCCTGAGCTTCTGGATACACAAGTTTGTGGTTTCCCCCTCATCTCATTTCAACTCCATAACTGTCACTGCATCAGTCAGTGATACATCTTTCAGTCCACTAGATGGAGCAATGGTATAGTGAATACATTCAAATGTGACCAGCGTCAGCATTTCAGCTCAATAACAAATGCTTTATCTATTTTACTGAAACAGAATTCTGGATTGCTTGATTGGTCAGTCATAACGTTGGCTACTTTCTGCAGCTTTTTTATTGAGTATTACTTTTTTGATTAAGCTCATTTTAATAAAAAGCCAACCAACCAAGCAAGCAATCAACCACAAATCTATAAAATGTGCTGCCAAACAGAGATAGGGAGTTTTTTGTGGTTAGCAAACTCTTGAAAGTGCAACTGTAGACAGAATAAGTAAGCAAGCTCTCATCACAAACCCCATTTTAAGTGTGGAACTACACTTAGTTGCTGCAATTTGATGGAATCTGTGCGCCCTCATTTTATTACCGCCAAGGTTATTATTGCATTTAATAGAAAATCCCCTCCATTTGACTCATAAAAATGGCAACTGGGCTCAAATGCCAAAAAGCAGAATGTTAATTTAACCCCGGCTATTATTTAGCTCGGCTTCTGCTGTGTTCTGAGTCTCAGGGGAGCAGCGGGGACTGCTCTCATTTTGCTGCATGACTGCAGTGTCTCGCTATGACCGCACAAATCTCTCAGGCTTTTGAGAAGTCTCCAACTCGGTTGTTTCACTAATCGTTGCAGAGTAAAGGTGCCTTTTATTCAGGGGAAATGTCATCCAATAAACTCATATTGTGCAGATTTTTTCGCCAGTGTCAATTCAATTGTGAATAAAAAGTGTAGGTGGATACATGTTTAAAAGCATTAGTCACAAGGACACACAGACACAGAATGGGTTCAAATGCAGAGGTCTTGAATATTGAAAAATGCTGTGCAGGGTTAACTGTGGCTGCTCCATACATTAAATATATATTCCCACACAATCTATATTTCTCTGTTGTGTGAATATATCTTGCTTTAATATTAATTGCTGTATTGGTGGTTTGAAAGCAGACAAACTATAACCCGACGATGATAATATAATTCATCTCAGAGGAGCTACCCAATACTCAGAACACAAAGTTCTGCCAAATCTCATTGAAGGTCAAAAACAGATTTCAACTCACTAGTTGGGATACAAACTCTGGGGTGATGGGTTTATCTCTATCCCTGCTGCACCAGCTCAACCATTACATTAACACTGGTTTCCATGTGAATATTGTTCTAATCTTTTTGAAGGAGATCGAGAGAGGACAGAGGCCTGGGTCAGAGCCTAAATGGGGAATAAGGAAGGAGTGAAACACATGTGAGAGGGCAAGATGTGCAGAGATACTGCGATGATAAACTGAACATGTAACGCCCTTGTGCAGTAAACCCCCCCGTCTTCCTCCCACTCTCTCCTCCCACCATCCCATTTCCTTTCAGTTTACCTCATCCTCCCTTTCCTTGACATTTATGCACAAAAGCCACACAAAGAAACACACACACACATTGAAAATAGAATTACCATGTCACTGCCATGACCTTGAGGGGAAGTGAGTAATATCAGTTTCCAAGGCGACAATGACTCAAGTTTTACAGCCCATATTTCACAGTCTATCCTAATGAATATACAGCGTGTGTAATTTTGATTGAGCACCAGCCTGCCTCTGGGATAATGACTTTGACGGTTCTTAGCAGATTTGATGACTTGATGACGATGGATTTGCTTATTTATCTGTAAATTTGCTCCACTTCCTTCATAAAAACATAATTAGCCTGATGACATGTCTTAAAGCTACAGCTCCGCCTTAGTTCACCCTTTCACAACATGCTGCGACGCCACCACATCTGCTCGGTGTAAAACTTTAGAAGGTTGACATTTTACTGCGGTGCGAGTAAAAGTTGACTCTGGCAAAGAAAAGCTGTCTTTCAATGCCAACGTCATTAAAGAAATAGTTGTTAAAAATGAAAACAGAGATGAGGAGTGTGCTAGAGGAGACAATGTCCTAAAGATACATCCCCCAGGGAAAGCCATCATGGTTTATGGTCACCAATAAACATTTCCTTCAAAATGGGATTGAGTATTGACTTGAGTAAAAGCGTGTTAAATCCTTCACACAGATTATGAAGGGGGAAGGACAACGACACTTGCATGGATCACAATCTATCTTGTTGTCATACTTACTAAGTTTGGTGGCCACGATAGAGATATTGTGCTGGGCGATGCTCTCTCTGTCAAGGAGTTCGTTCGTGGAAATCGTTCCCTCCACTGGATCAATGTCAAAGTAGCTGTCCAAGTCACTCTTCCAGTCAATGGAATACCTGAAAGAAACATTTTTGTTTAATGGCGTCCATTTCCAACATAAACCAGAGAATTAAACCACAAGGATTGTCCCTCTGGGCTCATGTATATGAGTTAGGTGTAATATAACGTTGGCATAGCCTTCATTACTCATTCTGAATGGTCATTTCCAGAAAATGTGCTGAGGATCGCATTTACATTCTAATCCTCTAATGGGCAGCATGTTCTTCGGCCATGCTGAGCCAGTGTTTTTTTTCTTCAGAACGTAAATGAATTTTAGGCATCGTTGAAACCGTATCAATCTCACAGGGCTGATGTTTAACATAGGCGGAGACATTTTGATTGGTGTCTGAGAACAGAGGGTACAGTGTCCTTTGGTCTTGCCCAGTTATTCTGAATGCAAACCATGAAAGAAAACAGGGATCTGAAACCAAACCGCATGACAGCGCCATTCATCAAACTATGCTATTTGATCTTAAAAGGGCGATTTTTTTATTAATAACTTTGTGATCGTCAGTGGAGTTCCCGGAGGAGAACATATGTTGTTGTCTTGTATTCCTCTTCACAACAAGGTTATTGGTTGGGGGTTCAATGCCTTGCTCTTGGGCATTTATTCAACACAGAGGCTTCATTTCTCTCAGCCTTGAGTCTGGACTTCTTACATTAAGAACAGCCTTGCTGTGCCACCATTATTCCTTTATTTTTCTTTCTAATGGCAAGCTGTTTGATCTTAATAGGGTATTTCTCATGAATATGAATTTGCTTGTTTTTTTCTCCTGCTAAAGAGCTTCAAACTGGACTTGAGTCATTAATGGAAAGAGGGTTAGCGTACTTTCAAACCCTCAAGTCTTATGCCGTAATGAGAATGATAACAAAACCATTTAAGTGGATTTCTTTTACAAGCTTTGGTTCCATCACATTTTATGTTTCAATTTCGATTTCTCCACGTCCTCTCTTACACTCTTTATGGCGCGCAGCCTTGAAGTGAACACGATCGTATCCAAATAGTTTAGTTTGAGTCTCTCTCATAAATATTGCAGCTAAACTCAAATCAGGAGTTCAAAAGATCAATGGTTCACAATTTCTCCTCGGGGCACAAACCCTTTTTTTTAAGTGTGGTTTTATTGGAGTCCTGCTGCTACTGAAGCATATGTTTCAGTGTCAGTCCGGCCCAGAGGTTACACAGGCGGCCTCATGCCGAGAATATTACAGATTAAAGAATGAATGTTCAGGGATTTCCTGGAGCAAAACACACATCTCTAATCACCAAACATGCAATATGTAAACATGTGAGATAGAATGTTTACTTGTAAATGGATCAATCTGTGAATTATTTTCAAGGAGAATAGGGGTGTGAGATATAAGGAGTCTTCTTATACCAAACTCAGTACTGAGAACAGCAGAAGTGGAAAATAATAACAGCGTTATCTCATACTTTGAACTGCTGTAGTGGTCATTCAGTCCAGAGAAGATTACTAAAAAAACACAAGTTGATTTAAAAAGTAAAGGCACAACTGAAGTTTATTTTCCACAGATATTGATTTCTAGAGCTTACAGTGTTGCTGCAGTAAACCCTTCAGAGTTCATGTCCAACAAGGCTCTTCAGTGGGATTTGTGAAGTTACCATTTAAGGCCAACAGCTCAGCATTCCATACAGAATGTATGGCCATTAGCACTTAGTAATATGACTGTTTTTTTAAGGACGGGGCCATTTTATGCATAAGACCTAATTTACTGTAAATATGTAACAGCACCTGGATGCTATTTGCTTGGCGCAGGTTTACAGGTGAACTGCTACTTTTTTTAACAGCCAGCCAATCCTTCTGTGAATACGCCCTTCCACTTTGAAACTGATTTGAACTTTGGGACGCTCTTTCAATTCGGCCAACAATTAAGTATTCATGATGCCCTTTGTTTCCCCAGTAAGAGATAACTCGGCTCTGTACTGCTAAATAGCGCAATCATTTGGGACTAAAGTCTAAAAGCTTAATTCCCTATGCATGATGGGTGATTGGGTCTATTTTTTAAGTAGAAAATGCAAGGCTGCTCTCTGAAGGCACCCAAAGAACAATGTGAGCTGTGGTATTGATGAATATTTAAAGTGCTGGAGATAAAGTGGAGTTCTAGAGAATAGTGGTTTTTTGTTGTCCTAAATCACTACATCTTCCATTGTTTTTGTTTTCTCAAGGATAAAATATTCATTATAAAACATTTCCTGTCCACGCAACAGGTATTTTGTGTTGCACTTGAGTGATACATCTTGGAAGAACCCTCACTACAAAGTAGCTACAGTGGACGAGTTTAAAAACAAAAGGGTTCTCATAAATGTTTAAGAATGCACTTCTTTGACATTCTATTGTTATCAAGCACTTAAGTTGTGTAGCGTGTTGTTTATATGTGTGGTGGAGAGGTTGTAAAAGAAATGGAATAACATGACTTAAGTGAAGTAACCAGGATACGAGTAAAGTCAGATTTATAAAACTAAGCAGTGGTGTTTGAAACTGCACAGAATATCACCAGGACGGAGCTGTCATCAGTGGAGGACCTTTACTCCCAGCGGCTCAGGAAGAAAGCCCTCAGGATTATAAAAGACCCCCATCACCCCAGCCACAAACTGTTCCGTCTGCTGCCGTCTGGCAGGCGCTACCGCAGCATCCGGACTAAAACCACCAGACTCAGGGACAGTTTCATCCCACAGGCAATAAGACTGTTAAACACCTGAACTGTTGAAAAAACATTTGTTAAACACCTGAACTGTTGAAACAACATTTGTTAAACACCTGAACTGTTGAAACAACATTTGTTAAACACCTGAACTGTTGAAACAACATCTGTTAAACACCTGAACTGTTGAAACAACATCTGTTAAACACCTGAACTGTTGAAAGATCCATAACATTCATCTGGCTGCTAATTATTTATCTAATATATCATATTCCAATAACTTGCATTTAGACTCTTATTGCACAATTTCACTTTTTAAACAATTTTTCTTTTTGTATTTATTATTTACCTGCACTATATTTTATGTTTATCTGTTTTATTGTTGAGCCTGTGACCTAAGATTTTAATCGTCATAACTACACTGTATGTTCGTAGGACAAAATAATACCTTGAACCTTGAAAGTCCCATCTAAAAATGACCACGGAGAGGAGGGGGGAGAGGATTTTTTTGTTAGGGTAGGAATTGTTTGGATGTGGATTAATATTTCAGTTAAAAAAATAAATAATCATAACATAAGACACGTTAAAACTACAGAAGCGTTTGCATTAATATTCATTATGTGCGGCTCTACTTGTTCACTGTATACTGTTTATATTATTATCATTCGTCTTGTTCAATAAGGATTATGTTTAATGCTGCTAAACAATGTTTTTTAATGTGCAAACTTTGCAATAACTTTACTGGAGAAGCTAACTCGGGATTTGGATAAAAACAAATACGCTTACTGCAATTTATTTAATTCTAATTGCTTGCCAAAACTTCTATAAAAAAACATATCCACTTCCACTTGTATCAACACAGGCAATGTGCACCGTGTTGCACATCCCCACAAAACAAGGACAAGTATAGAATATATGATTACCATTAATTAAGTTATGTTAATTATCTCCATCTGCAAAATGAATCACCACAAACGGATCTCATCTAACAGCTGCCTCAAAGAAATGCATTTAACTTCAGGGAAATACAGTAGTTGGCCAAATAAACTTTTCAAAGTGACAGACAATTAAATCATTTTCAAGAAACATGGCTATATCTTGAATATTTTAAGCCATAGTGAATGTCAGCCCATGGGGGATACAGTATATTCCTGAATATGGTGAAAAGAATGAGGTGCAACAGTTTCTGTTTAGTTAATCTCAATAAAAAACTGAAACTGTGAGATGCAAAAATTCATTAAAAAAACAATTAAGTTAACAGAATCATTGTCTTTTAAACAAAATAAATATTGTAGTTTAAGAGACGCTAGCTACAAAGAGGCATTTCTGCTGATATCCTCCGTTAGAATTAACGTAGTTTTTACATTTAACCATAAATTATACGGCAAAACAATATTAGTATTTATTACATTGTATTGAGTAAATGATGCAACTAAGTAAATGTCATAGACAGCATACATAAGCAAAGTCTAATGAGTCCTTATCAACCAGAATTTCAGATATGCAATTATGGCGCGGCTAATAATATTATCTCTGTTAAATCACATCAGCGACACAACCTGAGCTGCAAAGAGACGATGCAAGCAGGATTTTTCATGACAATGTCAAATGTTCAACATAGATTGATTAGCTCTCTGATGAGTAAAGCTGACAATACTCTGAAGATTAAAGCCATGATGACATTAATGAATAGAGACTGGGAACATTGATGAATGGATTAGGGTTCTAAAACCTTCAATCACTGGCGGCAGTATTACAGTTCTTCTTCCTTTAGCTCTTTTATCCTCGCGGGAGTAACGAGGGATAGTCGGTTCAATAGTAAAGCCTCTGAAGATGAAGATGTGCAGATCCAGGCCAACTTCATTCACTAAGACTACATAAAGCTTCTTTAGATGGCCAAACTGGGGGTCATACGGACTCCTTTATTTATCTTACTTAGACCCCCTAGAAACTTCAAAGTTGACCAAATTACAAATAAAAACATCAGTATTTGTATCTAAATAACAGGACTTTTTAATGTTCACAACAAACTCCTTAAATAGTCCATTTTAAAATGTATTATTTAGTGAATTTTGACTATTTGCAAGGGACAAATCCAGCTAACAACGATCACTACTTAACAATCTAAGAATGTCCGGAGAACATTATATGACCATAAGAAAATAATTCAAACATGTAATTTAGATGTGAATGGTTGAATGCTGACATGTATATGAAAGCGCTTTGAGGGGTGTCAAAGACCCTTAGCCTATCAGAGTGCAGGCCAATAGAAGCGCAAGTGTTTCATAGTGATGTCATTATCTCAGGGAACTTTGGGATGTCAGCCTTTGCAGACCATTTACATGCACACAAACCTCTAGAACACAGTACAGGATAGAGAAAACCCCAAAAGCATTATCTGGCCCCTTTCAACTTAAGTGTAGAGTGTCTATTGTTCTACACAGAGGAGTGAAACTTTACCTGACCGGACTGCTGCTGGCGTCTAAATCTTGTGCCGTCACTGCTCCGATGATGGTGCCCGCGGGTGTGTCTTCATACACATCCATCATATAGGAGGGCTTATTGAACACCGGGGGCTCATCCACATCCAACACGTTAATCTTCACTGTTGCTGTGTCTTTGAAGGCCCCAAAGCTTTGAAATCGTGGATCCAGATGGGCATTGGAGGCGTCTACCTTAAAGGTGTATGCCTTCTTGCTTTCATAGTCCAGGGGCTGCAGAAAAGAAACAGAAAATAGTCCCGTTAACATCTCCAGTTTATTTAAAAGCATTATCTTAATGAGTATAGAACGTGTCAGCACTCCCATGTCATTTATTATCTCTGTAGTATTCATCCTGTATGCAATAAGAGCACTTGAATGAATTGACTGATTCTGAGCAACAGTGTTGGCAGTAGTTTCTTATTTCTGTTAGTTTAGCATTTTCAAGGATGAGTAAGTGCTATCAATTGCCTACATCAGCGTCCTCTTATTGAATCTATTTAAGCATTTGGCTGATTTCCTATGTTACTAAAAACACATTGAAATACAGTCGCCTGAAGAGCAGAACTAAACAACTGACGATTACACATATTTGTGTTGTTCAAATGGCAGTTTATTGTGGAAGAGTGCTTCATGTTAGACAGACACTGTAGGTCCTGACACGTCTCGCCCCTCTTCAACGAACAAGTCAAGCTGCACTTTCCTGGTTCAGCAGAACTACGCCCCTTTACAAGAGTTCTCCAGACCACAGCTTAGGGGTTCATCTGTTCTACCTCTTCAAGTTTCTGACACATCAGCTCAGGGTCAATTAGTCAATGCCAGGCGAGGGGTGGAATCTGCATTCTCGGCATGTCTGCAGCTGAGGTGTAAACACCCGACAGCAGTGACACCCATGTTCGTGCTCCTGCCTGTCTCCTGCCCTCTCATGTGTGACCGACAGTACTTGGCGAGCTTGCAGCCGGTCACGCTCCGCTGGCCTACAGTCACATGAGAGACATTCCTTTCGGTGTATTTCAAATTGACTAACATGTAACCACTATGGCAGCAATGCTATCTCTTTGCCCCAGGACCTGGCTCTTCTGGCATGTTGTTCCAAACAACATCAAAGGAAAAACAGCTGGTAATGGCACAGCGAAATGTCCTTAAAGAGACAGTTGATGTGAGTGGGGAGGCGCACTGGAGGGTGCAGAAAATGGCTTTTATCGGTGGAAGGGAAATATGACCAGTCATCTGTCCAAATTAAGTGCACATGAATTAGAGATCTAATTAGAGTGTAACCACTAGGAATGATCAGAGGCTGTGCAGTGGTGATTTCACAGTGATAGCAGATGCTTCTCGAGCCCTCTGTCTCTCCTCCATCTCCATGGTTTCACAGTCTTGCTGCTACAGCAGGTGTCCGTCCGTAAAAAAGAAAAGAAAAAAGAAGAGATGTGAAGGCAAGCCAATCTGAAAGCAATCATTGACCATCAACCGCCATGATTGGTTTGATTACAGTGTGCCAGATGCAACTGGCTAGGTACAGCTATAAGATCTTTCAACAGGAAATACACTCTGTCCCTTTCAATCTCTTTCAGGAAGTGACAACACAGTGAGGAGACCAAGCTCCCTGAAGCAACAGTCGTGTATACAAATGAAATTCATGGCGGGTGTCATTCAAATGCTGATCACTACAATCAACCTAAAAGACTTCCTGCTAACTTTCACTTACAAAAGTCTTACAAAGTAGCTTGAAATATACAGCAGTCAATCTTTCAGATAACTCAGATCCCTGCAGGTTCCTGGAAAATGTTGGAAATAAACTTCAAAAGGAACTCAGTGTATCTCATAAAGTGAGATTAAGACATAGAAGAAAAACGCATCCGTTCTGTAATTCCAAAACATATATTATTAGGAATTTATATGACGTAAATCTAGGAATAAAATATACATAGTAGCTTTAAAAAGACATACATAGTGACCTCTTGTAATAGAGGCTACGTCATTGTGCCTGAACCATCGCACCTTGCATACCTCAGCTTTAATACAAGCACAGGTGGAGGACACGAAGGGAGAGGAGGAGGGATGGAGATGCTGGGGGAGGTAGACAGCAGGAGGTGTACACCAGGCTTCATTAGCCAGACTCTCATGGGGACGAGGAGACGAGTTGCTTTCCATCTCAACATGCTGCATCGCAACACAGTTCAGATACAGGCCCAAACCTCCACCTTGTAAAGCTGTCTTATTTTCATGTTATCCTCTTCTCTTGGGTGTGATGGGGAACTGCTTTTTATTTTCGCATAAAAAACTTCAAAGGCACAACAACTGGCATCCTGGAGTTACATTTGACAAATCATTGTTCATAAATAATATTCTAAATTCAAAAACTGAGCATGACAAATCGTTTGTTCAGTTATTGTCACAATCTCAGTTTTTTGTATTTAATGTTTCTCGTTTTATTTTGAAATGTATTTCCTCTTTGTGTTTCGACTGCATTTTACTTCCTGTTTTTTTGTTTTCCCGCCTGTGTGATGTTCTGATTGTGTTCACCTGCTGCCCTTGTGTTTCTGCTTGCCCTCTCCAGCTGTGTATAGTCCTGTCTCCCCTTGTTCTTTGTCGGTTCGTCGTCTTCGTTCCTGTCCGGTCTTGATGTGGTGTATTTCGTCCCTGCCTGACTCCCAGTATTCCTGCTCGTTTACTGCCCTTGTTTCCCAAACCCGGTCTGTACTCGTTCAGTTTTTTATTTTGTTGTTTTGCCTGATTCCCCTTGTTTTTTGTGTTAAACTGTTTATTTTTGTTTATCAGATATCAGATAATTTAGCAAAAACTGTCTCTTACACTCCATTACTATAACTCTAAATAGCTCATTCAGAATCACAACTATAGTCAAAACTAAAATAAGACTTGTAACTAAGTACAGCTAAAATGAGCTAGCTGGTGCAACATCCACAGCTAGACCTTAGCTCAATGAAAATAACTTCACATCAATGCTCAGTGCACTTGTCTTTTGTTTGAATCAATTTTGAATAACAATCGATAGTGGACTATGCATGAAAGCTCTGTGAGCATGGCTTCCAATACCATGCACATCAGATGCCCTCACTCTGACTCTTGTATCTATTAGAGGCATTTAGTTGACCAGATGCCTTGATTAGCTAGCTAATAAGCTAACATAATCAACAAACTCAAAGTGATTATTTCTCCTTTTCGCTAAAATCTACATTATCACCACCAGAGGGCGTGTTATATGATCTCAAACGTCTGTGCACTGAACGGAATCACAGAAGCAAGTCAGATGATTTTGTACAATCTTTGATCAGAAAATTCAATTAATAATGAAACGTTTCTTGCTGACACCCGTGGAACAATGCATTGACAGAGATATGATCAACCACCAAGCAAATCTTACATTTACATATTCTGATTTGGGTGTAAATCTTTCATGTTAAGAGCTTCACTGCCTTTTTAAAGTGCCTAAGACTCATGATGGTCCAAGTATGACTGGGAGATGTGGGGCCAGGAGGGGGTAATGAGAAAGTCTGAGTTAATGAGAAGACGTGTTAATGTGTCAGAGCATGACTTGGGGAGAATCAAATCACATCTGGAGGCCATAGGGGAAATTTCCCAGGAAGTAAAAACGGCCATTCATTCTCTAACTGCTACTACCATTTTGCATTTTTCCCCCTTCCTCGAATGACCTACTTTAGGGCTCAGAATCAGAGCTGTATGAGGGCGTATTACACATATAATATCCTAAAACAAGTTGCATACACCTATGTATGTTCGGTTACACGTTTGAAGTGTCTTTACAGCTTCAGTTGTTATGCACATTTGATGGGTTACTGCGGACACAACAAGGAAGTGTATCAACGGAGGAATTTGTAAGGAGGACAGACCGAGTTCCTCTCATGTCAGTGCTGCTGCTCTTCAACATCACAACAGAACACACTTGAAATTCTAGACATGGTGCTGCGCCCTTTGATATGTAAATGTGCACCTTCATTGCACTGGCAGTGATACTGAATGAAGGAACTTCTTTTTTTTCTTGTCAATTGAACCTGTAATGTTCCAAGGGAATTTGTTAATTTAAAACAGGGACTAATCAAGGCATCACAGTCTCTCTGGTACAGTATATGCTTCAAACACAATGGAAAAGAAGACCTTATATTCAAATGTGAATACTGAACAATGGGTGTGATTTTTGACGCCTTATACTGAGATATGACGTGTAACCCATAATGTAAAATCTGTTTCTCCTTTATACTTGGGTATGTTCCTCATATTATAAAGTGTTAGCTGCAGATGTTTTTACAGCTTGCTGGTTGTTTTGGAGAAGCAGGACGATATGCTTATTGAATATGGGCTCCGTTTCTTTGTGTCACTCTTGTATTACTACAGCAGATCAATATTCTTCTCAACCTTCAGCTACACACCCAATAGTTTGAGGGACAGTCTTTTGCCAACACCCATGGCTGCCATTCCCCTTGGAGAGTTATTATCGCAGCGCAGCAAGTCCTCAGCAGGCTGTATTTATTTGTTTATGCTGAACACAGGTATTGCCTGGAGAGGCTGACGATTAAGTAGGGTGAAAAAGAATGCAAATGTTGTTTAAGCTGTGGTATTCAGAGCATCCTTAAATCCATTTACCACAGCATTATATATTTACAATAGCACTTATGAATCATTAACACCCACTCACGTGATTTATCCTCTGAGAGTAAATCAAAGCTTAGCCGAATATGGCAGTACATTTCTCCACACATCCTCATGTCTCCATGCTTAATTCTCATGAGGCCAAAACCTCTTGATCCCATATGACAGCACCCTTCATTTAATCGCTAAAGATGTGTCTGTTTTGTTGCATTAAGCGGGAATAGTTTCAACAATGCCCAATGCTAAACACATTCATTCTGGGAGGCGAAGCCGCTTCGAGGTGCAAATTCCTCTGAGATTTAGAGATAAGCAATTATGACTCAGTGGTTTGACTGTGGCCTGACGTCTCTGTTTGTGAATGAGTGACTTCTTCATAAGGTCACTGCTGTCTTTGACTGACGGTTCCGGAAAACCCTGCCATGCAGAAGAATGCTAAACTCCTCCAGCCACCATTGTGCCATCAGCAGTCAACTGGCCACAGAGCACAATGAGCTTATCATCGCCAAAGTAAAGCTTACATGCCCCAGAGAGCGATTCGATGTCCCTCTTAATACCGGGGGGGGGGGGGGGGGGGTCTTAGCACTGTGGTGAGGAGATGCTCACTT